CATATTCGTGGTCTCTTTAATAAAGTCCACCCATCTAGCATGTGGCCTCCTTCCTCTCTTTCTACTTCCTTCAACCTTTCCCAACATTATTCTTTTTTCCAACGATTCATGCCTTCTCATGATGTGTCCAAAGTACGGGGCTTTGCAGACCGGCCTAAAGGGCTGGCCTGGGGGTAGAGTTGGGGCAGGGCAGCCACACGGCAGTTGCCCCAACTCTATCCTAACCCCGTCCTGAGGCCGTGAGCCCATTCGCATGGCACATGGTGTCAGGACGCCCTCTTAGCACAGTGTGCACACATGCTGTGCCAAAATGGCATGAAAAATCTGCCGCACCTGAAAGGACAGCCTTTTGCCACCCCTAAAAGGAGCGGCATTTTGGCACTCTTTTGCGGGCGGCAAAAGGGAGGATCGGGGCCACGGCGCGTGGTTGCTGCGGCCCCAATCCCCTTTAGATGGGTCTGCAAAGCCTCTATGACAGTCTGTCATCTTGGCTTCTAGGGACATCTCTGTCTTGATCTGTTCTATGACCCATTTGTTTGTCCTTTTGGCTGTCCATGGGATCCTCAGCACTCTTTTCCAGCAATACATTCTCTCCAATGCATTGCTTTTCTTCCTATCCTCTTTCTTGACTGTCCAGCTCTCACATCCATCCATGGGAATAATAGGGAATACAATGGCTTATATGATTCTAACTTTTGTGCTGAGTTGTATATCTTTGCATTTTGGGATCTTTTATTATTCTTTCATAGCCACCCTCCCCATTCTTAGACTTCTTCTGATTTCAGTCCCCATTTCTATTAACGTTTGATCCCAGGTATGGGAACTCTCTTACTATTTCTAATTCTTCATTGTCTAGTTTGAATATGTGTAAGTTCTCTGTAGTCATTATTTTTGTTTCCTTTATGTTCAGCATTAAGCCTGCCTTTGCACTTTCTTCCTTGATCTTCCTTAGTAGATGTTCCATGGCTGGGAGGTTTTCTGCTAGTATTTTGGTGTCATCTGCATATTCCAGATTGTTGATATTCTTTCCTCCTATTTTCACTCTTCCTTCTTCTGTGTCCAAGCCTGCTTTTCTTATAATATGTTTTGCAGGGCTCTGTTTGCACACAGGATTTTCATGCCTGATGTTAGCAGAGGAAAGGGTTGAGCAGATCAAGGCTCCAAGCCCCAGGATAGGAACCCTTGAAATTCTCTGTTTTGGGGCAGTGATGTGTAGGCTCCCCCTTCCTCAGGATCGCACATCTTTCGTTCTGCCTTTTCTTTCCCTAAAAGCATTTCTCTTTGTAGTTGTGCGCCTTCAAGTTGACTTATGGCAACCCTAAGGTGAACCTATCACAGGGTTTTCTTGGCAAATTTCTTCAGAGGGGGTTTGCCATTGACAGCCTCTGAGGCTGAGAGAGTATGACTTGCTCAAGGTCACCCAGTGGTTTTGCTTGGCCGAGCCAGGATTCGAACCTTGCTCTCCAGAGTCCTAGTCCAATGCTCAAACCACTACATCATGCTGGTTCTTTAGGGGAAAAAAGCGTTCCCCTAAAGCCTGTGAAATTCTTTTTAGCTGCAACCAAGAGGCGGTTTATGGGACAGGGAAACATTTGAGAGCAGGAGTGGTCCTCCTTTTCTCCTTCTTTCTTCAGAAATCTTGTCTCTTCCCAGCCTGGGGAATTCCCCCTCCTTCCCAAAATCTATGTCTGGCTCCTTGTCTTCAGCAACTACATATGCTTCTCTATCCTCC